GAGGAAGAGGAAGTTGACAGTGGAGGAAGAGGAGAGGGGCGGGGCCTCAGAGAGCGAGGCAGGGGTAGAGATGGAGATTGACAGGCAGCTGGACCAATCACTGGAGACCAAGTCCAAACAGCACAACCTGACCACGGTGAACGTTAGAAACATCATCCACGTGAGTTCATCCAATCAGAGCACAGCTTTATGATGATGAATATTATGATTTATTATTTTAAACATTTGACCTTTGACGTACAGGAAGTGATCACCAATGAACACGTCGTGGCCATGATGAAAGCTGCCATCAACGAGACCGAGGCCGTACCCGCCTTTGTGAGTGTCGTCCAGTCAGAGCGCTCGGTTCCTCCTTCAAACGTTAATTTATTCATTTCTGTTTGTTTTCTTCAGGAGCCCAAAATGACTCGATCCAAGTTTAAAGAAGTGGTGGAGAAAGGAGTGGTGAGACTGTCTGTCTGTCTGTCTGTCCTTCTCTCTGTCTGTCTGTGTCTCTAACCGTCTGTCTGTCTCTCTACCTGTCTGTCTCTCAGGTGATTCCAGCCTGGAACATTTCTCCCATCAAGAAGATGAGTGACGTCAACAAGGTGAACCTTTTTATTGAAGCGTTTATATTTAAAGACATTTATAAATATATTAGTGCTGGGCAACGATTACAATTTTTAATGTATGTATGTATGTATGTGTATATGTATGTATATGCCCTCTGCCATTAGACTTTATAATAAAACACCTCGGGGCAGATCATCGTCCTTCACATGAACAACGCTACACGGTTGTTGCTTGTTGTTGGTGATCCTTGCTCTGCTGTCCAGTTTGTTTAGTTTACTAGTTGTTAATTCAATTAATACCACTCTATTCATTGTATATACTGTGCATTTCTATTCTTTATTCTATTTGATCTTGTTTTTTATTAATCTATTCCTTCAAATTCAATATCTGCTCTGTTATTTTATTGTACTGTATATATTGTGCATTCCATATGTTATATTTTACTCTGTAAATCGCTGCTGCTACAATCTAATTTCCCCCTGGGGATGAATAAAGTTTATATCTATCTATCTATTTAAAGACTTAACTGCTCATCTGTTTTTATTTGCAGTAACATGACACATCAATGCTTTTGTTACCGTGGTGACAGTAAATGATCTGTCCGACTGTCCTTCTGTCTTCAGGCTCCTCAGTTCGTGGACATCCCTCTGGCTGAGGAAGACTCCTCTGATGAAGAGTACCATCCTGATGAGGAAGACGAGGACGAGACGGCTGAAGACGTGAGGCTGTGCTCTGATTGACTGCAGTCCGGGTTGGTACTGAGGATTGATTACTGATTGATGGATGTGTGTGTAGACATTCCAGGAGAGCGACGTGGAGAGCTCTGCTTCGTCTCCCAGAGGAAGTCGACTGAACCGAGTGGAGGAGGACAGCTGCAGCCCCTGGCAGGTAATTCTATTTCCTGTGTCCTCATGGCAGCAAGGGTCTGTGTGAAGCCCCGCCTCCTCTCTATCATGGTTGGTTGAACCATCTTCACATGACAACACAACATAGACGAAACCAGAAAAAGTATCATCCACCTCTCTTCAGACTTCCCGGAGCCGCTCCAGGCGTTTAAGGGCGGCGTCTGCCTCAATGGGACCTCCCCCTCCTCCCAAAGCCCCTCCCCCTAAAGCAGTGCCTGACAGCACCTTCCTGGAGAAACTTCATGCTGTGGAGGAGGAGCTAGCTGTGTGTATAGAGCCCTACCAGGTACCACAAGAAGATATACTGTTCAGGTCTTGAGGACGGGTCGGTAGAGCTTAAGGACGGGTCGGTAGAGGTTGAGGACGGGTCGGTAGAGCTTGAGGACGGGTCGGTAGAGCTTAAGGACGGGTCGGTAGCGCTTGAGGACGGGTCGGTAGAGCTTGAGGACGGGTCGGTAGAGCTTAAGGACGGGTCGGTAGAGGTTGAGGAGGGGTCGGTAGAGGTTGAGGACGGGTCGGTAGCGCTTGAGGACGGGTCGGTAGAGCTTGAGGACGGGTCGGTAGAGGTTGAGGACGGGTCGGTAGAGCTTAAGGAGGGGTCGGTAGAGGTTGAGGACGGGTCGGTAGCGCTTGAGGACGGGTCGGTAGAGCTTAAGGACGGGTCGGTAGAGGTTGAGGACGGGTCGGTAGAGCTTAAGGAGGGGTCGGTAGAGGTTGAGGACGGGTCGGTAGCGCTTAAGGACGGGTCAGTAGCGCTTAAGGACRGGTCGGTAGCGGTTGAGGACGGGTCGGTAGAACTTGAGGACGGGTCGGTAGTGCTTAAGGACGGGTCGGTAGAGGTTAAGGACCAGACCAGCATTGGTTAGTTAGTGGAATATCAGAACTGAAGGTCTAGTATATTCTGTATTTGATGTATAGAATTGATTATTGATTAATTGTGTCTGTCAGCCTTTGCCTGAGTCGGGGGACGAGGTGGGTCTGATGGCGTACCGGACTCGGTCCAAGCGTCCTCTACGTGACATCCCGCTCGGCCGGCTGGAGGCGGAGCTCCGAGCTCCCGACATCACACCTGACATGTACGAGTCCAGTTCCGCCCACGAGGACAGGGACTGGACCGATTGGCTGAGAGGCCTGATGACCTCAGACATGGAGAACGAAGGTGTGCGTGCGTGGCTCACCCTGATGCTGTGTGAACACTACGAGCAACACCGCCACCTCTTTCTTTCTATGTAACACACTTTGTTCTGTGTCACTCTACCAGAGGAGTGTGATGATGAAGATGATCCAGAGTACAACTTCCTGGCCGACACTGATGAACCCGATGTAGAGGATTACCGTGACGACAAGGCCGTCCGCATCACCAGTCAGTGTGCACATCCTCATGTGATGGTCATTGTTTTTAAATATGTTAGATTAGTTAATGCTGACGGTCTGTCGTGGTGTTTGTCCTGCAGAGAAGGAGGTGAATGAGCTGATGGAGGAGCTGTTTGAAACGGTGAGTCTCTCCAGTCTTCACTCAGGATGGGCTTAGCTTAGCATAAAGACTGGAAACAGATGGAAACAGCTAGCCTGGCTCTGTCAGTAACAAAATCCACCTGCCAGCATCTCTAAAGCTCTACCGATAAACAGTCAGTAGAGCTTCAGGATGACTCGTCCATTTCACGCACCTTCAGCTGCTGGTGTTTGTGTTTCAGTTGAAAGTAGGGGTGGGAATCACCAGAGATCCCGCGATACGATATTATCACGATACTTAGGTCACGATACGATATTATCACGATACTGCGATAACATAGGCCTATATTGCGATTTATTAGTTTTTTCAACTTCAAATGATGTCCCCAAAGGAAAACTGTGTCAACATGTTTTATCTAATAAGATACATTTTTCAGTCTGTTCATCTCACTTCACTCATTTTTATGGCAGCAGAATATGATTGTCAAGCAGACAGACTGACAAACAATGTCATAAATGTTGCATGAACCTGACAAACTGAACTGTTTGTATTACTACATAGTCCAACTTAACTGAATGCAAACGTGTCTATAACTTATATAAGTAGGATATAAGAGTTATATAACTCAGTATAACTTGCGATGCGTGGACGTCGAGGGCAGAGAGCCAGTTATGCGCTGCACTCTCCCCATGAGCCTGGCTACTGTTGGCAGATGTAACCCCGTTGTGAGGCCAGATGTCTATCTTTGTTTTGACCTGGGACCTTTGCTGACCTCACCAGAAAACAACTCAGCACCATCTAGTGGACTGAAAAAGCAATTGATTTGAATTTTTAAAAACAAAAAATCGTTTTTTTTTAATAGTTTATATAATAAAAGATCGATACTTGGCGTCCGTGTATCGATACAATATCGCCACGCAAAATATCGCGATACTATGCTGCATCGATTTTTTTCCCCCACCCCTAGTTGAAAGAAGACCTGGCGGCGGGACAGGAAGTGGAAGATGAAGGCCACGAGGAAGAGGAGGAGCCTCAGGAGGAGTGTGTTCAAACACACACACCTCAGGACCAGCACGACTCGTATGTAACACACAGCAACACAATAACGCACCAACCAACACACACCGACCCTGTCTGCTTCCATCACAGAGGACCGGGAGACGAGGAGGACGAACCAATCACAGAGCTGCGTATGGTGAGGCAGCAGCTGGAGTTTATGAGGAAGAGACGGCAGCTCGGACTGACACACACACACTCCAACACACACACACACAACCCAGAGTACTCACTGAAGCTGAGCGGACAGCAGAGGAGCCGCCTGCAGCAGCAGCTCCAACAGGTACTAATACTAGTGTGTACATGTAGAACAAGTACACACTAGTTTGTGTACTATATATATTAGTGCTGGGCAAGTTAACGCGTTATTATCGTGTTAACGCATTCATTAATTAATACCGACAATTATATTATCGCGCGTTAACGCCGTTGTTTTTTATTATTATTAAGCAACATTTTTAACACAAGAACCAGGCAGCGAGCGGTGAACAGCTGTGTTTGTGTGGCGTCACTTCCTTCTTCCCCCTCGGGTCCAGAACCCCTCCTACACTCCGTCACTCTTGTCTCACACACACACATACGCGCGATCAAACGTGACTGTTGTGAAGTGGAGCTTCTCGTGAAGACCAAGACACGTCTTGCTTGAACAGAACACTTTACTGTCTGAACTGCAGTATTACAGTGTTATAGTGAACACAACGCGCTCTTGCACCCGACATGTGGTTTTCTACGTATCAACATTGTTAGTGTCAAGAACACGTACCATTCTACTTCCTGTCTCTTCAAAGTAAAAGCACTTCCGTTTTCATGCTCTTCACAATAAAAGTAAATCATGCAATCAAACAATTTACAACAGTGACAATAATAAAATACATATTGTCAAGTTTTTAAAGTGTTTTGTTTGTAATATGTATAATAAGCATCATTTAGTTATCACGATTGAGAATTTAACAAACATAAATACATGACCTAGATAGGTTTGCAGTTTTCAAGGTGTATATTTAAATTGCATCTCTTACACACATGAAGATAAAGATGTGAACACCGGCTGAATATCTATGATCAGAATCATTATAACTGTGTTATAACTGCTGCTGTGTAAAGGGAATACTGCTGTTAACAACAACCTGATGTGTTTAAACCAAATGTTATTGACCTTTAGTTCATATAGCAGTGCTTTAAAATAAAAGTGCACAATACACTACTTTTGAATTCATTGTTGAATTTTGCGCATTTCCGCATGATGTTTTTGCGATTAATCGCGATTAAAAATTGTAATCGTTGCCCAGCACTTATATATACAGTTGTGTGAAAAAGTGTTTGCCCCCTTCCTGATTTCTTATTTTTTTGCATGTTTGTCACACTTAAATGTTTCAGATCATCAAACAAATTTAAATATTAGACAAAGATAACACAAGTAAACACAAAATGCAGTTTTTAAATGAAGGTTTTTATTATTAAGGGGGAAAAAATCCAAACCTACATGGCCCTGTGTGAAAAAGTGATTGCCCCCCCCTGTTAAAACATAAATTAACTGTGGTTTATCACATCTTTGGAAAGCTGAGTTCAATTTCTCTAGCCACACCCAGGCCT